CTGAAGACAGAACTCACAAGCACCTGCTCACTAGGCAATCTGGCCACCCTCAGCTACTTCCCTGTCTTTTGTTTCGATTTTGAGACACACCTCACTGTGTGAGCCATGCTGACCTTGAACTCAAGACCCTCTCGACTCAGCCTCCTGAATGTTGGGATGGCAGGCGCATGCCCAGATAAAGGCAGTGTTAACTACCTAAGACCGTTCTAAAGGCATCTAGTCGTCATGTAATCCTACCCAGTGGGGAACTCACTCATTCTCTTCTTCCTCATTTTAGAAATGGGAAACTCAGGGTCTGAGGCTGGAGCCCTGTTGGTAGAGGACTTGCTTAGCACAAAAGTCCTAGAGATGGCCTGGCAGTGGTGGCACACGCCTTTAATCCCAACACTCAGGAGGCAGAGGCAGGTGGATCTCTGTGAGTTGGAGGCCAGCCTGGTCTACAGAGTGAGTTCCAGGACATCCAGGGCTACACAGAGAAACCCGGACTTGGAAAACGAAAAAACAGAAGAATAAGGAGGAGGAAGAAGAAGAGGAAGAGGAAGTAGTCCTGGAGATACAGGTCTGCCATCCTTGACCATATAGTGAGTTTGAGGCCAAACTGGTATACATAAAACCCTGTTTCAAAAAAGAAAAGAAAAATATATACACATATATATGTGTGTGTATGTATGTAGATATTTGTTGGAGTGTGTAAACACATGTATAAGTGTGCATTTGTTGGATTGGTACTAAACATAAATGTGTAAACATGTGGGTCTCTATCTGTGACTGTTGGCGCAAGACCATAGGAACAGCTGGGCATGGTAGCTCACAGCTGTCATTCTAACACTCAGGAGGCTAAGGCAGGAAGATCTTCACAAGTTCAAGGCCAGCTGAGGCTACATAGCAAGACCCTGTCTTTAAACAAAAACAGGAGGGCTAGAAAGATGGCTCAGTGGTTAAGAGCACTTGCTGTTCTAGCAGAGGTTTTGGGTTCAGTTCCCATCATCCACATGGTGGCTCACAACTATCCATAAACACACACATGATGCACATACATACTTACAGACAAAACACTCACACGCATAAAAACAAAAAAAGGTAGGGTGGTAGTGGCGGCGCACGCCTTTAATCCCAGCACTCAGGAGGCAGAGCCAGGCGGATCTCTGAGTTCGAGACCAGCCTGGTATACAGAGTGAGTTCCAGGACAGCCAGGGCTACACAGAGAAACTCTGTCTCAAGAAAACAAAACCAATCAATCAATAAATAAAAAGAGAATAAAAACAACAGTAGGTCTGAGAGACAGTTCACTTGATAAAGTGTTTTCCACACAAGCGTGAAGACCTGAGTTCTATCCCCACACCCGGGTAAAACAGCCAGGCTCGGCACTGGAGAGGCAGAGGGAGGTGGAGCCTGTTTGATGAGTTCCCAATTCAGGACGAGACCGTCTCAGAAATAAGGTGGGGCTGCCGAGATGGCTCACAGGTAGAAGCATTTGCCGTCAAGGCTGACAAGCTGAGTTCACACCCCAGAACCCACAGTGTAAAGAGAAAACTGACTCTTCTGTTGTCCTCTGGCATGTGCCATGGCCCATGTGCTTACACACACACACACACACACACACACACACACACACACACACACACATTTAATTTGGAGGGGAATTAGTTGTCCCCTAAGGAATGACACCCAGAATTATCCTGCGGCCTGTACACACACATGTACAGACATACACGGACACACCCATCCTACAGAAACACATAGAGCAAAGGAGCCCAGCACCTGTCCAATTCTGCTCTCTGCCTCCAGTGGTGGCCACCATGAGGGACCTGGGGAAGAAGGAGCCATTGGAGGCAGCTGCTGGAGAGGCTCTGGGGAAGACACTCAGCGTGGCCCAGCTGGACGTGTGCAGTGACGAGTCAGTGGCTAACTGTCTCAGCCACATCGAGGGAGGCCGAGTGGATGTGTTGGGTGAGACTTGGAAGCCTCTGGGGGCACCCACATATACATATCAACTCAAGTATTTACCCTCAGCAAGATGACAACTTCTAGCCCTGGGTAAAGGGGTAGACCAGTTGGCCAAGAGTCAGGAGTAGCAATCTGCTAATTAGAGATGCCAGACTTTGGGGGAGGGGCTGCATGGGAGAGACGTCCTCACATAAAGAGAAAATCATATGTGGTTGGGAAAATTACTTCAGTGAGTCATGCGGAGACAGGAGGATGATGAAGCGGCCACTCATGTCCTCATGGAGCCTGCTAAGGCGGGTGGGTCTGGCCATCTTGGTGCAATTTGGGGGAAGACAGGAATTGCTCATGGATGGTATGACAAGGATTTGGTTTCTCATTGCTCTTCCACCCACTCTCCCAGGCCCAGAGGCCTGGACGAACTCCAAACTGCTTACTACCACCTAGATTCCACATGTCTCCTCCTAGACTTGTTCTGAGGACTCAGGTCCTGGGGTTGACCTCAAACAACACTCTCTGCACACCCACTTAGTGAACAACGCAGGAGTCGGCCTTGTGGGGCCCCTGGAGGAACTCAGCCTCGCTACTATGCAGAACGTGTTCAACACCAACTTTTTTGGGGCTGTCCGTCTGGTCAAAGCTGTGCTTCCAGGCATGAAGAGGAGGCGACAGGGACATATCGTGGTCGTCAGCAGTGTTATGGGGCTCCAGGGTGAGTCTGGGGACCCCCCCATCCAGGATTTGAAGGGTAGCAAGTAAGTTTTAGCTCATAGTCCAAACAAACTTGTCTTGAGAAGGATTCTGAAGCCCAGGAAGGAAATGTTCTGGGATTGACTTCCTTTTACCGTCCTGGTGTAAGAGAAAGCAGTAATGGGATGCATGTCATAGACCACCATCCACATCCCAGAATCAACTCCACTTCTGGATACACCTGATACAGTCTTCCACTCACACCCCTGAAATCCAAAAGAACCATCAGAGCCCCTCCTCCTTGACAAAAGCCCCCATCAGGCCCTAGGGATGTAGACAGTGTTGGAATTCTGAGACTCAGCAGAAAAGACAGAGAAGGATTTGTGATGTCTGCCATGGACCTACTCCAAAAGCCACCTACTTGTTGTCATCTATGCTCATGGGATCTTCTTTCTCCTTGAATCCTTCTAGACTCCCTCCCCTCCTCCTCCTGGACATACTCTGTGATATGACTCCTTCCCCAGCCACCCTCCAATTGCTCTGGCTATGGAGAAGAATTAACAAGTCACTGTACCCATGGACCATGAGGATGCCATAAGTAATGGACCATGCTATAGATGGAGGGAAATAGGGCAGTTTGCTGGGAGCAGGTAGAGCTGAAGGGTGGTGACACGTTATCCAGAATGATCTCATCCTATGCTATGTGTGCCCATTGCACAATTCCATACACCCATGATCCTGTCCCCTCATTCAAATGCTCAAATCCTCCTTGCTCTGTGTTCCAAAGACCTCATCACGCCGGGACCTACAAAGTCTATCCCTGGCACACACCCCTGAGTCCTCCCTCCCCTCCCCTTCCAGGTGTCATGTTCAACGATGTCTATGCAGCCTCCAAGTTTGCCCTGGAAGGATTCTTCGAGAGTCTCGCTATCCAGCTGCGACAATTCAATATCTTGTGAGTCGGGCACCTAGGCAGCCACGGGAAAAGGGAAATGGTGATGTGGGAAACAGTGAAGAGCGATGTGGGAAACAGTGAAGAGCAGAGTGTGGAAGGCAAGTTAAAAGAGCAGGGCACTAATGAGGCCCAGCCCCTTGCTGAGGACTGGCAGACAGTCAATGGTTGCTTGGGAGGAAGAGAGATTTCCTCAGGGGTGTGGCCACTGGTGAGGAGCCCACAGCCCTGGGAACAGCCCCTCACTCACGCTCTGTAAGCAACCCCCATGAAACTCGCTGGGTCACAAAAAAGAAAAAGACATGAAGATGGACGTGAGGGCTAGTTGGAGGAGGGAGGGGTCAGCAGGAGTGGGAGGGATGAAAAGAGGTGAATACGATCAAAGTACATTATGTGCAGAAGATACCCATTATTAGCCGGGTGAGGTGGCGCACGCCTTTAATCCCAGCACTCAGGAGGCAGAGGCAGGTGGATCTCTGTGAGTTCGAGGCCAGCCTGGTCTACAGAGCGAGATCCAGGACAGCCAGGGCTGTTACATAGAGAAACCCTGACTCAAAAATATTTTTAAAAAAGAAACCCATTATTATGCATAATTAATACATGCTAATGAAAGCCTTTTTCAAAGTGGGAGGAGGAGGGAGGCAGGTGGGGAAACAGGCGGAGGAGGCGACTGAGAATGAAGAAAGATGGAGTAATACAGAAGAGGGCGGGTCTACAGCTTAGCAGGGCACTTGCCTAGCGTGCGAAAGAGCTTAGGTTCAATCCATCCCAGTGCTGCAAAATAATAACAACAATACATACTAAGGGGGGACCTGACCTTGTAGCACACAATGTCCCAGCACTCAGGAGGCAGAGGCAGGAAGGTGTCTGTGAATTCAAGGTCAGCCTGGTCTACAGAGTGAGTGCTAGGACAGCCAGGGCTACACAGTGAGACCCTGCCTCAAAATAACAACAACAATAATAGTAATGACATCTGGGGGAAATGAGTGAGGGCAACAGGACAGTGAGTGAGTTTGCAGAAGCCCCACATCCAAGCCTTGGCCCCCTTCCCAGCATCTCAATGGTGGAGCCAGGCCCGGTCGTCACTGACTTTGAAGGAAAACTCCTGGCTCAGGTTTCCATGACGGAGTTTCCAGACACTGACCCTGAAACCCTGGGCTACTTCCGGGACTTGTACCTCCCAGCCTCCAAGGAGCTCTTCCGCTCTGTGGGACAGAGCCCAAGGGATGTGGCTCAGGTGAGTGGACAGACACTATGGCTCTAAATGTTGGAGAGCTCGGTAAGTCCTAGAACTCAGCGTCCCCTCCTACAGGTCATTGCCAAGGTCATCAGTTCCGCCAGACCCCCACTCCGCAGACAGACCAACGCTCGCTACCTCCCACTGACGGTGCTTAAGGCCATGGACCCCTCTGGAAGCCTGTATGTGAGAACTGCCCACAGGCTCCTTTTCCGCTGGCCTCACCTTCTCAGCCTTGGTCTTCGATGCCTGGCCTGTGGCTGCCTCCCAACACGTGTGTGGCCTGGATGAGCGGAGCAGAACTGGCCCTTCCCACCCTGGGCAGCAGGGTTCTGCCCCTAGATCATACAGACTCACTCGTTCACTCATCCAGGCCCTTGGGGAAAAAAAAAATGACAAGATCTCACTGTTTAGCCCTGGAACTCACTATATAGACCAGGCTGGCCTCAAATTCGCAGAGATCAGGCTGACTCAGCCTCCCGAGTGTTGAAATTAAAGGCGTGCACCACCACACCCAGCTAACATTTTTTTTTTTTTTTTTTTTTTTTTTTGGTTTTTCGAGACAGGGTTTCTCTGCGGGGGTTTGGTGCCTGTCCTGGATCTCCCTCTATAGACCAGGCTGGTCTTGAACTCAGAGATCCGCCTGGCTCTGCCTCCTGAATGCTGGGATCAAGGGCATGCCACCACCACCTAGCACATTTTTTGTTAATATGTTTGCTTGCACATGTGCCGGGGTGCCCGCAGTGGCCAGAAAAAGGCATTAGATCCCCTGGAGCTGTAGTACAGTCTGTGTGAGATGCCCGGCATGGGCACTGGGAGCTGAATGGTCCTCAGAGGACCGGCCCTCTTAGCCACTGAGTCACCGCTCCCACCCAAACCTTTTTTTTTTTTTTGCAAGTGTATGCATGTGTGTGTGTGTGTGTGTGTGTGTGTGTGTGTGTGTGTGTGTGTGAGAGAGAGAGAGAGAGAGAGAGAGAGAGAGAGAGAGAGAGAGAGAGAGAGAGTGTACATGTATTCTGTGTGTAGGTGCACGTGTGTATGGCTATATGTGGATGCATATGCATGGACACTTGTGTACATGTGCAAATGGAGACCAGAGGTTGGCATCTTCCCCAATGCTCTCCACCTTACACAGTGAGGCAGGGTCTCCCAGCAGTACATGAGTCAGGTGGTGGTGCACATCTACAGTCAGCACTCCAGGATGCAGAGGCAAGAGGACCAGGAACTCAGAATCACTCCTTGATCATTAGTCTTAAAGATGGAGAGAAGAGCTCCACTGGAACATCATCTCCCTAAGGGTCCTTCCTCCCTATCCTCACCTGACTTCACTGTTCCCCACATTACCCGTTTTCAGTGTGCTGTGTCTTCCCACCTGAGACCCTGAATGGTGTATATATATATATATATATTTAGAAAGTGGGTGCAGAGGGTAGAGGACACACACACACACACACACACACACACACACACACACAAGAGAGAGAGAGACAGAGACAGACAGAGAGACAGAGACAGAGAGACACAGACAGAGAGAGACAGACAGAGAGACAGAGACAGAGAGACACACAGAGAGAGAAGTGTAATTTAAAATTTCACAAAAAAGGATTCCTTGCAGTTTGGGCTCCAGTGGGAGGCGGAGGGGTGGAGGGGGTTCAGGCTGGGGCTTTGCATCACTCTGGATTTCCTGGGGCTGAGTCCCTGAGCCCCTGGACTCACCATACATTCCTATGCTGCTGAAATCACACTGAGTCAGCCTCAGCTGCATAGAAGGGAGAATCCTCATCGCTGAGAGTGGTAACGATACAAACAAACACACAGCAAGGGGAAGCTGGTCTTCAGCCTGGCTGGATGCTGTTGCTGACCTGACAGGGAGACAGGCCCAAGTTCAGACGATGCTGGAGAGATGCTGGAGACCGGCCCACACTCGGTTCTGCTGTCACACGCCAGCAGCCTCCCAGACCTCCCAGCTCAGCAGGACAAACCCATCCTGCAGCTACTCAGGCTAAAAGTCACCTGAGTGACTCTGCAGCTATGGGTTTCCCCCTCCCTTCCCCCTCCTTCCCCCCTCCCTCCCTCCCTTCCTTCTATCCATCCTCCTTTTTCCCTTTCCTCCTTTTTTTCTTCTCTCCCCACTCCCAGGAGATTCCAGCTTGCCAATATTGTGATCTAACACTGAGCAGCACTCTACCGTCCTTTATTATTTACTTTTTAATGATATATTTGTTTTTGTTTTCTGTGTGTGACTGAGTGTATGTAGGCATGTTTGGGTACCAATGGCATGCAGTGCCTGAGGAGGCCAGAAGAGGGCGCTAGCTCTCCTGGAACTGGAGTTAGATGACTGCTGTGCCGCTGATATGGGTGCTGGGACCTCAACCCAGATCCTTTGCAAGCATTGCAAATGCTTTTAACCACTGAACCATCTCTCCAGCCTAGTGGTTCAGTTGTTTGCATCAATGCAGAAGGCCCATAACACCCATAGTGACACTCCGGGGAAGCCAACAAGCCCTGCAGGGTAGCAGCCCTGCAGGGTAGAGATAGGCTTCAGAATGCTCACACAGCAATTGCGGAGGCACAGACCTGGGCCAAGTTATCTCATGAATTCTGGCACATGTGTGAAATGATGTGTTCCTTCTAATGTTTATATAACAGCAAAGCACCCTGGAGACCGCCCATCGATACACCAGTAGCAGACCAGCCCCAGAAATGATTATACAAGACGGAATGCATTGCAGGTTTGAAAGAGAATGAGGAAGCCCGTCCGGGCTCCTGCAGAAAACACTCTAAAGGTGCATATTCAAGAGGAGAATTCAACAAGCAAGCAAGATGGCTCAGCTGGTAAAGGCGCCTGCCACCGAGTTGATAGCCTGAGTCCCATTCCTAGTTCTCACATTCAAGAGGAGAAAACCAGCTCCTACAAGCTATCCTCTGACTGCCACACTCGAGGTGTGGCAAGTTCACACCCACCTTCCCCCCCCACACACACACAGAAATAAACACATGTTTAAAAAGCAAAACAAAGAAAGAAACCAAGTTCCAAACTTGGTGAATAGTATGCAACTCTCAGTGGAAAGGTTTAAAAGAATGTATTTTTTCCACTAAAACATTCTGTCCTAATAATTTTTAAAATATGATAAAATAGTCACAATGTAAAGTTTAGCATCTTAATTTTCTTTGCTGAGTTCAGGCTCTACTATAGCTGAAGCTGGTCTCCAACTCCTGACCCTCCCATCTCTACCTATAAGTGCTAGGATTATAGGTCTGAGCCACCACACTCAGCTTTAGTCATTTTTAAAATTATTTTATGTACATTGGTGTTTTGCCTGCATGTATGTCTGTGTGAGGGTGTCAGATCCCCTGAAACTGGAGTTACAGACAGTTGTGAGCTGCCGTGCTGGTGCTGGAAATTGAACCCAGGTCCTCTGGAAGAGCAGCCAGTGCTCTTAACCACTGAGCCATCTCTCCCTCCCCCAGCTTTTGTCATTTTTAAAAATTAAAAACAGGAGCTGAAGAGATGGCTCAGCAGTTAGAGTGCTCGTTGCTCCTACAGAAGACCCAGGCTGCTTTCCAAACACCCACGTTAGACAACTCAGCATCGTCTGTGATTCCAGCTTCAGGGACCACCAAGGGGACAGCACATGTATACACACACACAGCACACCACACACACACCACACCACACACACACCACACACACCACACCACACACCGTAGACATACAGCACACATACACCAAACACACCACACACCATGCACACATACACCACACACACATCACATCACATCCACACCATGCAAACACACCACCCACACAAACACATCATACACACACACCACACACACACATGCCACATACACCATACATATACACACATACACCACACATACACCATACACACGTACATACCACACAAAATAAATCTTTTCTTAAAAAAAAAAAAAGAGTATCACAGAGTGGAGTTACTTTCATCTATTTAGTTTTGGTTTTGGGGTGTGTGTGTGTGTGTGTGTGTGTGTGTGTGTGTGTGTGTGTGTGTGTTTATGCATTGTGGAGATCTTCGGACAGCTTCAGGCCTCTTCTCTCCTCTGTCTCCTGTCTTCTTGTTTCTGTGGTGCTGTGCACTCCACGACAGCTGCTCCACGAGCCTCTGGGTCTCCCTCTGTCTCTACCTCCCACCTCTCCTTGGAAGTGCTGAGATGACAGAGCGTCACTGCATCTGGATTTTCACATGAGTTCTGGGGACTGAACTCCAGTCTCCAGGCTTGCAAGGCAAGTGCTTACCCACGGAAGCACCTCCTGGCCCTGGGCTTTTTGTTTTGTTTTGATTTGTTTTGGAGGTTTTGGGGGGCAGGGGGAGGTGTTTTTCATTTTTGTTTTATGAGACAGGGTTTCTCTGTGTAACAGTCCTGGCTATCCTGGAACTCAGTTCAAGACTGGCCTTGAACTCAAAGGTCTGCCTACCTCTGCCTCCCAAATTCTGGAATTAAAGGTGTGCTTCACAAGGCTCGGATTTTTTTTTGCGGGGGTGGTGGTGGTGGTGGGGTCCTTAGGTTTGTTGGTTTTTTTTTTTTTTTTTTTTTTGCTCTTTTGTAAGACCGGGTCTCAAGTAGCCCAGGATGGCCTTGAAATTACTAAATGGTTGAAGATGACCTTGAGCTCCTAACCTTCCTGCTTCCATCTCCTGCGTGCCGGGATTAAGGTGTGCAGGACCATGTTTGGTTTATTCAGTATTGAGGACAGAACCCATTACTTCTGGTGTGCCAGGCAAGCGCCCCGCCAGCTGAGCCACAGCCCCGCCTGTTTCGAGACAGTGTCTCGCTATGTAGCTCAGGCTGACCTTGTTCTCATGGTGATCCACACCCAGCCTTTTCCCAAGCCTTTCTATTGGCGGTACCTCCATGAAATAAGACCATCTTTCTTCCCTCTCCAACTCCATCATTGCTTCGCTTGATACACTTGTTAGTTTTTCAGTCTTTGTATGTATGTATATGGTGTGTGTGTGTGTGTGTGTGTGTGTGTGGTGTGTGTGAGTGTGAGCTCCCCAGCGCAACAGCACACATGCGGAAGTCACTGGACAATCTCGGGTGTCAGTCCTCAGCTCCCACCTTGTTTGGGACGGTCTCTTGTTGACCACCACCAACGCCAGGCTGGATGTAGGAGTGCTGGCCCGAGACAGGCTGCTGCATCTGGCTCGATCCATTCTGGGGGCTCAAACTCAGGGCCTCATGCTTGTACTTCCCCTAAGCATCTCCTTGTCCCTGAGATGTCTCCCAGCCCCCCAGCCCTCCTACCT